CACCTTACTTTCGACTTCGGTTCACGACCTTGAGTTCCAGCTGGGGCTGGTTGACACCTATTGTCGGTACGCTGGGGCGAAGCTGAACCGAGCCAAAAGCAAAGTCCTGACGTCATCCCACACCCACGCCTCAACATGGTCCCCAGTGAAGTACCGATCAAGTACCTGGGCATCCATTTCGGCCACCCTCTGGATCGGTCTTACGCTCTCAATTTCGTCTCCGACAAATTTTACAAGGCGTTCGTTACATGGTGGTGTAGAACTCGTACCCTCCAAGGCAGGCGTCTCTTGGTCAACACGGTCATACTGTCTCAGCTTTGGCATGTCACAATGGTCATACCAGTACCACATCAAACAATCGCACGCTGGCAGTCCATGGTGAACAATTTTCTTCTGGGTCGACGAACTCGGCGCGAAGACAAGTACGTTGCAATGGCCAGTAGCGCGCTCGTCCACGAGCCAGAAATTGGTCTAAAGGTTCCCCACATCGCATCCATCATCCAAAAACAGCGCTTGTGTCGTCTTCAACTTTTGCTTCTACTCCACGAAGACCAGGGTCAGACATGGACGGTGTTGCCACGATTCGCATTGCAAAACTGTCTTGGTCCGTACGGTCGCCATGATCATTGGGACTTCCTCCTTTACCACCCCAACTTTCGAACGTCCATGGTCGACTTGACAAGATTGTCGTCATTCTGGACGGACATTTGGACTTGGTGGTCTCGCGTGCCCATGACGCGAAAAACTTCCACGGAACCTACAATACACCAACTGATACGAATGCCGATCTGGTTGACCTCCCATCCGTTGTTCCAAGTACCTCTTCAGCAAACATCCACCTGTCTCGCCATTGCCTTGCGGCAGCACCGCGGATGGTACCGACACTTGGCCTCGAGTGGGATCCACTGCCTAGAAGATCTCCTGAACTCTGAACGCAAGTGGCCAACAAGAGACGAATTTACACAACGAATGCACCATTTCCTGGACTCGTACACTGAAGAAGCACCTGTGCCAGCTTCGTTTAGATATTTCTACCGCCTTGTGGACTGTATTGCGCACAATGTGTGGTGTCAAGTCAGCTTGACAGGGCTCGATCAAGTCCCTCGCTATAGGCAAGAAGGCACATCATCCCTCACAAGTACAAGGGT